TGCTGCTTGCATTTTCTGGAAAGTGATTACATTGAGTTCGCAGGTGTCAAAAAGGAAATCCCATACCATTTGATTCAGCGACGTGTCGTCCACAACATTTGTTTCTTTTTTTTTTTTTGTTTCTTCAGTGATAATTTTAAAAAAAGAAAAGAAATGTAGACATCAAAAAACATATGAAAAAGAAAAAAAAAACAGTTCCACGGAGGATCGAACCCGGTCCTACGGCGTGTAAAGCGGACGTCTTTCCCACTATATCGAAACTAGGTCATCTCTTTCCTTAGTAATAATTCAGCCGATAAACTGTAAGTTGGAAAGTTTGCTACCCATTTTCCTTTAGCAAAAGCACTCCCGGGTCGAAGTCGGGATGCACCCCGCATTGGCGACATTCTCACCTTGTAAAGAAACCGTACGCGTGCATATTCAACTCGAAGTAGACACGTCGTGCTTGACGTTTGCGCGAGCGATATCTTCAGCCACGAGAAGGGAGCGACGGCTCGGCGACGTCTTCGTGCAAATCGGCTTGGTGGTCGGGCGTGTCGTACGGGATGAAGACCAATTCTTTTGATCAGTCCCAAATTTCTCTTTTAAAGGCAGACAAAATTCTCCGGTACCGCGAACGACAGTTCTGAAATAGAGGTCCCACGCACGTCGTCCGCTGCCATCGCGTCCCTGCGAGTCCCACGATATGCGAAACGACGCACGCACAGAATGCTTCCGGTTGTCTGTGAAACTTTTTTTTCAATCAACGTATTTGCAGCTTTTTAGAAGCCACAAAAAATGGGTTTCATATTTTTTTCTGTTTTTAATATTGAGTGTGTGCCTTCAGTGACCCACGACTTTGATTAAATTTGGTGGTCGCATCGATACCCTAGAAAACGGCCCGTGACCGCGGAAAAGAGAGTGAGCGAGACTCGAACCGGCCAGTTCTTGATCGGCGGTTTTCGGGCGGAAAGAAACCGAATTTCGAGCCGCAAATTCTGTTCTGGGTAGTTGAGCTCTCATATGTCACGTACAACTAAAAACCTCGGCGAGCATAAATACCCTGTCAGTGTCCCTGGGGAAAATGGATGTGTCCGGATTACACAAACGAGAGTCCCCCGTTTCCGTCTTCTTTACCTGTTTGGTAGAATGCGCGATTTATCAGTTGAGGAAGAAAGCTAAACAGGAAAAAGTTGGAAAAGCGTTTCTTGACTCCTTTCGAGGCCCGGAGGAAGCGGCTGTCGTCTGCTAGCCAGAGTCGTCTGCTCCGAAATCTGTCAACTTGGGATGAACATCAACCGCAGCAACATATCCGTCCGCTAGCATAGCGAGCACTTCGTGAACAGTTCATGAGACAACCATACGCTCAATTTAGCCGCAAATCTGCGACGGGTGCTAATGCCAGAGCACAGTGGGGGCACAGTGCGATGCTTTCAGCGGAAACGGCCGATTACGCGGCTGCGATTGCCGGCGCTCACCAACGGCCACGGCACTACAAGCATAGGTGCAGACTACGGGGGGGCATTGGGGTTCGTGCCCCCCCTGGTGAGATCCAGGGGGGGGCAGAGCCCCCCCCCTTCCCCCCCGGCCATGATCCTTACCAAGCATACCGAGACGCTGTTCACGTGCCATGTAACGAGCTTCCAGTAGTGGCATGTAAACAAAATGACGCCCACGTTGCCTTTATTGACAAAATACATGGGAAATGGAATCCCAGCGTGCTTTCGTTAGCTTCAATCTCCAGTTCTGGTGAGAAGTAACGCGGGATCGATCACTTTTACGTCCGCTTGGTCTGCTTCCTTAGCAGCCTGCCATCTTGCAATGTCCCACCAAAAAAAAAAAAAAAAAAAAAAAACGGAAGTTTATATTGCCGCGAGCGCAGCTGACAAGTAGGCAGCGCGCTCGTGGCCGAACGGTTATCGCGCGTACCTTTTACGCAGAAAGCCAGGGTTCGATTTCTGGCCGCGGGTACGCATTTATGTTAACTTTAATGTAATGTTCTGGTAAAATTGAGAACCGTGTTGGGGGCTGATTCGAGGTTAGAATATTCTACACGCCGAACCTTCTACGTCGATTGTTCCAGAAGCCCACGCCTGTACAAAAGGAGCTCCGCGTGGCCACCCGGACTGAGTCTCGCCCCTGCAGCGCTCGATCCTGCGGTTTCGCCGACATCGACGTCCGCGACACTCTGCTGGTTTCTTCTTTTCCCTTTTTGTTTTGTTTGCTTAGGGCGCAAGTTCGCCCCATTAAACGTTTAGTTTCTTCAGTTATCATCGCCTCATTCGTGACAATATAGAGGGCGCCTACTCCCTCAGGAGCTGTTCAAAAAGTCCGTTTAGTAGTGACTCCCACGGAGTCGCTACTAAACATTTCAAATTTGTGCTCGCCGGCGCGTTCACCGTGGTACCGGCGACGAAGACTCGGCTACGCTCGCACGGTGATCGCGCACCGTGCGAGCGTAGCGCACGGTGATCGCGCATGGCGAGAACGATCTACGAAAACTCCCTAATAGGGAGTTTTCGTAGATCGTCTTCGCCGTCCTGCAAGGCCCTCCGCAACGCGCATACGATAGCGGGAACTCCACAGTCAAGGCTATCGGCGCGCAGTCGCATTAGCAACTTTGTCGTTGCGGAACGCTTAGCGGAGGGGGCAGCGCGGTCTACGAAAACTCCCTATTGACACACAGCCACGGACACATGACGATATACATATGCTGTAAAATGTACCCCTAAAATAAACTACTGATAATTGCCGGTGTAAAACAAATTGCGTAGAAAAGCACTCCCCCCCCCCCCCCTCCCCCTGGAGAACTTCTCAGCCTGCCCCCCTCCCCCCCCCCCCCCCCCCTTTCTCGAGAAAATAAAAAGTCTACGCCCCTAACTACAAGGCGAAAAAAAATCGAGCGGATAGGGACGTGGTGTAATTTTTTTAGGTCAAACATAATTGAAACTCATAAATTTGTGATTATTTATTTTTTTTATTTTCATATCTTCTCGTTATACATGAAATCGGGCGAGTTCAATTGCCGTAAAAAAAAAAAAAAAAAAGAAGCCTATGAGTCTTTTTTTGTCGCGGAGGGCTCTGTTGCTGTAGAGGTAACGAGGCCCCGGTGGTCTCGACCATGGAGTGTTATCACGTGTCTTGCTCTGGCGCCTTTATTAGGGAGTTTTCGTAGACCGCGCTGCCTCCTCCGCTAAGCATTCCGCAACGAAGAAGTTGCTACTGCGCCTGCGCGCCGATAGCCTTGACTGTGGAGTTCCCGCTATCGTAGCGGGTTGCGGAGGGCCTTGCGGGGCGGCGAAAACGATCTACGAAAACTCCCTATTGGGTCGCGGGGGCCGCAGCCTCGTACAGCGCGCCAAGTTATCGTGAAAGCACGTGCCTCCGTTATTTAAATGTAGTGGTGGTGGTGTCGTTAACCTCAGATGAACATCTATATCAGCTCCGCACAGTTCTCATTTGTATAGGGTGATCGGATGTCCCGTTTTGGGCGGGACAGTCCCGTTTTAGAGGATCGTTTACATCGTCCCATCATTTCGCCTAGGAAAAGCAATTATGTCCCGTTTTCGCGGGACCATGCAGTTGAGAAGTCAGTACTAAGCAAATAAAAAAAAAAAAAAAACACGAAACAGCTTTTTTCTAAAAATGCAATTTTATATATAAAAGAAGAAGAAGAAGAAGAAAAATTAACATATTATGAAAGTGTTACCTCCCATACAGCACAAGTTCGAGCTCTTTCTCTTGTTACACCTACCAATACATTTACCAGACTTCTGTTTCAGTACTACTGAATTTAACATTTTATAGCTTGTCAACAATGAAACAGTGACGAAAGTCTCTTGTCCGACTCCGGAACAATATGCGCGTCTACGCTCAAAATTACTAGTCGCACAATTTTTTTTTTAGCCCTCCCTCTTTCCTTTCCGAACTTGAGTGCCTTGTTATCTTCTTCGAGTATTATGTTCAACTTATATACATATGTATCATCAATGCCTCCCGGAGTCCAGGTTCGTTTCTTAGACCACGGTGAAAGAATAGAGGTGCCTGAAGGACGCCGCCTCTCTGCGTATACGTGTGTCGAAGGTTGACTTCAATTTCTGACGAACGCCGTGAGGTGGCGCAGCATGAAAGGAGCTCGAGGAACTGACCTTACTCGTCCAAACGTTTTCAAGGCCGAGAAGCGCGCGTCCGCCCCCGCGCGAGGGAAGCACGGCGCGCGATGGCGACTGCGAGCCGAGCCCCAAACCGAAAGGGCCCGCGCGAAGCCCGGGCGGAATTTCGGCCCTCCTTCTGACCTTGTTCCGACACCTCTCTGATTTTCCACCGTGTCTCCGACACTCATAACGCTCGACCACGTAGTCCGTAGAAACGACGTAACTCCGGACTTCGGTAAGTTAGCTGCCGACTCTAAATTCCTCAATCGAGCATATTAAAAGAAAAAAAAAGAGACCTTTCTGGGTTTATGTTTATATTTTCTGTCGTTTTATCCGTGGTTAGCTTAGCTTAATATGATCGTGACTATTCGAATTAAAAATGCGGCAGACCAAACGCGTAGAAACAAAGAAAAGCCTCGTCTATGCACGTATTTTATAGCATAATATAGCGTAATATGATCCCTTAGCATAATATGATCGTGACTATTCGAATTAAAAATGCGGCAGACAAAACCCGTAGAAACAAAAAAAGCCTCGTCTACGCACGTATTTTATATCAGTGGCACCAAATTAGACGAACTTTACTGCCTTCGTTCTGGTTTCGGTTTCGGAATCAAAAGGCTGAATGTCTACCTAGCGGAGACACTCTTGAACTGATTATTGCAAGTATCATCATTAGTACTTTAATAAACTTTTTAGTAAACTTTTTTCAATTTATAGTTGAAAGCTAAGCCCAAAAATTGTATCAAAAAAATAAAACTAGTAATTTCAAATTTAGTTTGCTTATCGCCCGCCAGAGTCACGAGTTTTTTGGCGATAGTGCGTCAGCTGAGTCGTCGTGTGCAAAAAGAGACGCTCGCTTCCATACCGACCTCGGGCACCGAAGTGGCGGGCCGTGCGCAAATCCCACGTGTGACGCGCGGATACCTTGATACTCTTATATTCCATATTGTTTAATAAAACCCAGCGCATCTGATCACGCCCAATTCGACAAACGAGGTGAGTGCACTTTGCTGGGGACGTCCGGGGGATCCAACCGTGCAGTCGTTTGAGCTGACCGAGGCTCCGTGTAGTCGGCGCCTAATCGTCGCTTTTTCGAGCAACCGCGGGCTGTTATGAGGAGAAAAAAACAAAACGAGGTTTAAGCCTATCCAACCGGATTGGCAGGAGATCGAATTACACGCTGCCGAGGAACTCGCTCAAATCATTTAATTCCTTTAACACCTCATTTGTAGCCCCCTACCACCAAAAGTAAACAGCGCGCAGTAGAAGCATCTTTTTTTTTTTTTGTTTTTCTTTTTGTGTAAGCCTAATGTTGTGTTTGGATTTCGAAGGTTAGAGACAAGCCCCCTCCGCGGCGTGTGTATTATTATCTCATATCGCGGCATTGAAACGGTTGGTTGGGCTATTTCGCGAAACGTTACCTAACCTCTTTCGAGCTTGCGAAATAAAAATAAGCTTAAACATCTTCCTTAACACTCGTTACATTTCACCGTCCGGCTGCTTTGAATCGAACGCATTTTTTATTACTATTATTATTACGTTGCGTATATTTTTTTTATTTGCTTGTTCGCGGTCAGTGACGGCTTTTCAAGTACCAGCTGTTGGAAAAGGGCTGGGTTTCCCCTTCCACGTCGTCCCAATGGATGACCCCTTGTCCCAAGAATATCGGAGAAGTATGTGCGGGGCCGAAATGTGGCAGGGGTAGCATTGACCCAGTTTGTCCGTGACCTTGAACTCGGACGTGTATCCGTGCTGCTCTCCTGAGCGAAGCATCAACGACAACGTACGCGGAACAGGAAGTGAATTTCTTTTTTTTATTATTATTGTTATTTTAACTACAGACAATTGAATTTTGGGGCGGAAATGACGGTTCGGATGCTTTCAAACCTCCGCTTTCGGGCAGGAGAGCGAAAAATGGCTGCGGCAGCGTTGATTTGATCGGCGGACCCTTGTGTTGCTCGGTCGGTGGAATGACGTTTGCCGCCTTACCATGGAATGAAGTTGTGGCGTTTGAGTGCAGTATGTCATTGTTCCTGCTGTGTTATCGAAATTTGATACGTTTTTATTTTTTATGGGTTTTGAAGCGCTGATAAGCAATATAGATATATTTCGATTTACGAGCTTGGGCTCATCGGAGACGGTTGCTGTCCAAACAATCTGTTGGATTACTGCTGTTGATAATTCTGACAGAATTCAGACTGTATAAGTTTGAGTATTTTTGCTGCTGGGAAAATGTTTCCGGTTTTGTTCGTTTTTGAGCGAAAGTATGCTGGCTGTGTTGTTTGCTGTTAATGTAGTTAACTCGGTTGCGTCTCGTGCAGTTTTTGAATTAATGACATACTTGTAACGCTGTGTCTACAGTGCCGTCCGACGGCACTCCAATCGCGCCTACAAGTGCCGTCTGAGAGCCGGACGGCGCGTGTATCACTGGGGGGCTCGTTAACACAGCCCCTCGCCGGCGTTCACGCCGCTTCGCGGCGACAGTATGCGGCTGCTAATTACAAAACAATTGAACCACTAGGCCCTGTCGTACACGACGCCTCGCGGCGTCCAGCCGGCGAACCAAGCCCTGCTGTACCCGATGCACCTCCGGAAACGAAGTCCCATACCATTTCGTTCAGCGAAATTTCGGCGACAACATTTATTCTTTTTTTTTTTTTTTCTGTGTTAATCGTAAAAAAATAAATGTAAACAGCGCCAAATGCGTCGACAAAATAAAATGTTTGAAAAAACAAAAACAAAAAGTAAGCCCGCACTGGGGATCGAACCCGGAATAGCGTGCTTATGAGACAGACATCTTACCTTTTTTTTTTTTTTTTTTTTTTTTTTTTTTGAGACAGACATCTTACCTTTACGCTACACTCGGCTTCAAAAAACTTGTTTTAAGAACTCGTTTTATACGAGACTTTCGAACGGCACTTGAACGTATGAGTGGAGTACCGTGGGACGGCACTTGAACGCTCTGCAAGAGTACCGTCGGACGATACTCTAGACACTACGTACTTGTAAACCCTAAAACATATAAAAAAAATATAAAGTTTATCTTCTTCATCTTAGCGTTTACAAGTATGTCGTTTCCTGACCATCTTGCCTGCGCACTCTCGCTTATGAAAGTTTTCAAATGCTCAAAGCTGACTTACAAAAAAATATAGATATATATACTGTAAACGACAAAATTTTCGCGAGAACCTAATTTTCGCGAATTTAGCGAATCGCCTACAATTCGCAAAAAATACGTCCCGTGAACAATTCGGGCAATATGTAAACGCTACGGAAGCGACACTCGATTCGCGGAGATTAGAACCCACGAATAATTTTAAATTTCCAGCTTCGGCCTGATTTGCGAAAATTTGAGCCCGCGAAAATTAAGTCGTTTACAGTATATATATTGTACAGGGTTGTTGAGATAAATCCACACTTTTCTTAGATTTCGTCTCTCAAGTGAAGCTAACCGACCGTATTGCACTTCTGCGGCCACATGATCCGACAGCGGACCATCCCATAATAAAAAATTTATGACTTGCTGAAAAATTAGCAGGGAATATGACCAAGTGGCAGCAATACTTAAATTACTTCACGTCGGAAAGTCGCCTAAGCAAATCGTTGCGTGGTATGGCTACAAGAAAACACAAGTTTACAGCGTTGCCAAGACGTTCAGGTAATCTGTCAGTCAGGAAGACTTTGCGGCAGACCGAACAGAGCACATAAAACGGTTGATATTAATTTTGTCTTTGCCTCTGTGTGTTCTCCGGAATGTGGTGAATTTTCCGGATTCTTCTCGATGACCCTCTATACAGGTATTTTTGTTGAGTTCTTTTGTATTTTCAGTGCACAAGGTGAGCAGTATTGCACCTGAAAACTATACAGGTCACTTTTTCTGTAATTTGATATATTCGGTGAAACATTGAATTATTGTGAATTACGAATGAGTCGCAGTCAGGTCCCAAGTTGAGCCAGTAAACGTCTCTTCCAGTCAAGATTCCCCTCTTATGCCTGTTTGAGCCCTCGTAAACAAAGGATTGGCCCTTGGATGAGAGTCGCGGAATAATGAGTGCGAGTCCAATCTTTCGTGCTGGTGGTCTTGCCATGCGTCCAGTGCATTCAGCCGAAATGTATGCCAGTGATTACACTGCACAGGATCCTGACTGACTGTAGAACTTATGCCAGCCAATTGAAATGGACATCTACTTCAAGATTGGCAGAGGGCTCATAGTACAATCGTAATGTAATGTTAGATCTTTGTCTTTCTCCTTCGATGTACGAAACCTTGGCTGTTGTAAACCCATCAACCTAGAAATGACTGGTGCCGCCCGGTGGAAGACGGGGATGGGGGATTCCGAGGACGAAATACTGCATGGATTTGGTTAGGAAGGAGAGGGGAGAAGCGTCTTGGAACGACCTTCAGAGCAAAAAGATCAGCCATAATAGGAACAATAGGCTTTGGTGGAGCTTGATCTAGGTAACTGCAGGGCCAGCAAAATCTTGCTTCCTTGGTCGAGAGAGTGCCTGCACTTGCTTGGACGCATGCTCACGTATTTTCATACCAGATCCTCCTGAATCGTCGATTTTCTCAAATGGTCCATTGCACGCACAGAAAACTTGGCAGCCCATATTTGTACTCGCTGAATTTGACCTTGGAAATAGGTGCCGAGATCTTCAAATTGTGACCTTGTTTTTAATGCCGACTGCCTCTGTTCCATTGAGGTTCCATTTCGATCTACGAAGCACAAGGTGCAGTGTTCCAACCCTGGGTGGTTCCAGGAAATCTCTTGAGCGCCACTCACATCATTAGTTGCGTTGCATTGTAAAGCCCTCCTTGTTTGTATGTATAACATACCTGCCAAGTTTTACGATTATTTTATCGTAAAGTGTCCGCTTTTCAGCGGTTTCTTTTGGTTATCGTATTAACAACAATATTTGTACAATATTCCGCACCGCGTGTAAAAAAAAAAAAAAAAGTTTTTGTTTAAGCTGCCTGTTTACAAGTTGGGGTTGGCAACACTGGTAAATCGACTTGTATGCCAGGAGGCGCGAGCTACCGCTCCTCGTTGTGAGGCAATTGTCATTGAGGTCATTGTTTTAAGGGGTGGTATAGCCGCTAACATCCATCCATCGATCTTAATCCAAAACTGTTTAGGAAATCTCCTTTGTTGTGGCGAGGTTGGTTGTGGCGAACATTGTGCGTTGCGTTACTGGAACTTTTAATCATGATCTCTTCAAACCATCTTTGTTACAAGATTTTGGGCAAAAAATACTTGCAAGTGTTTATTTCCTGCTATTCAACCGACTTTCCATTTATGAAGACGTCGCATAAAGGCGAAAGTTAGGGATTTGGTAGTCTGTGTCGCTGCGATAACATTTCGCACGCTGGTCGCCAGGACCATTCTGTGTCATCTGAATACAAAAAAGCACAAGAACTCTGCAAAATTAGTTGAAGCTTGGAGGGTACTTTAGTCGATCAACGGATTACGACACTACCGAGCAGAATGCCTTTTTACGACATTTTTGATAGAACACAACGTGCCGTTCACAGTGGTTGTTGAGGAGACGTTAAAGAGCAAGAACTTTGCTCTTTAACGTCGTCGTTAAACCAGGCACAGGCGAAAGAGTTTTCAGCAAAGTGAAGAAGGCACACGCAGTTCCGCTCCTCTATGTCGAAAAAGGCTTTTGAGCAGTTGTTAGTTGTGAGATGCAGCCAGTCCGGAAAGTGCCATGAACAAGTGTTCGGCAACAACTTCCAAAGAAAAGCAAAAGCTGCAACTTCCTCAGTGTTGGCCCAACCTTCTACTTCTAAAGAATAAGACATTTTGTGCAATGTATGATGTGTTTGTGCCCTAGTTGAGGCATTTTTCTTACCTAAACCAAGTTTTTGAAGAATAAAACAGTTTTCATATTTTTTCACACAATTGTTGTGGTTTTTGGCATCCCCTGTAGTATTTTCAGCATTGTAGGGTTGGCAGCTCTGGTATAATACTCTGAACTTAATCTAAGTGTGTGTTATTTCTGGTGACAAACATGCAGAGTATGATCATAACACAACATGAGAATGATCATGATTGGAACCTGAGCATGATTATGTTTACAGCATGAGCATGATCACAACATAAGCATTACATTTTAGTGAAGAGGTGTTTTTTTTACTAGAAAAAATCTAGGATGACTGCCTCTCAATACACCAACTCAACTGTCTGACGTCATACTACTGCAGCAGTGCTGCTGTTGATACTGTGCATCCATGAACACATCATCTCGCACGAATCTGGTTTCTGCGCACGTGCAGTGCCCACTCCTTGTGTGGGCAAACGGGCTCGTTTTTAAACATGTTGTATAAGCACAGTGCTACTGCCACAAAGGGGTTGTGGGCCTCATGGTTTCTGAGGAAGATGGCAAATAATGCAATTGTCTCTATGTCATCAGTGACCGAGTTGATCCCCTGTCTCGTCAGAAAATAAACTAATGTAAAATTAAGCTGCTACCATGTTTAATTTTGTGTAATTCATTACATAAATTGCAGAATTCAGGCGGTGCATCTTGCTTACACAATAGGTAATTGCTCTTGCTACGTGGCAGTGGCAGTGAAACAACAATTTGTTGCAGGAAACATTATTACGAAACTTTGCCCCGAAAATAAAAGCAAGCTTGTCAGCCGACGGTCCGAGACCATTTATTGAGTTTAAATGTGCCAGGCTTTATTATCCGACTGCCAGTGTGACAAATGTGAGCCAACGGTTCACCCGCGTGGCAAGAAATGTCGGAACAAACTCGCCGAGTGTGCCATGGGAGCCACGTACGAAATCCCACAGACTGGCAGTTTGGCATATATTGGCCAGACTGGTAGGTGTGTACAATCATGCCTGTTGGCACATGATGGCAATGCGCACGTGCTTGTCTGGCCTTCTTGCTATTCATTATAGTGGATGCTCCTGTGCCCCGGCGTTTCGTTTCGGGATGAGACCAAATATCCAGAGAATTGCAGGAGACATTTACGATTAGGAACGAAGGCAGAGATGGTGTACTCAAAGTGTTGGTATCCTGAGCAGAAAAAGAGCTGGAATATATCAAACACTGTTTACACATGATGACGATGCCCCGTTTATCTTACGATTGATTGTGAAGGACGCTGCGAGCCATCAAAGCCTGTCCATGCCGTGCTAGTGTTGATGACTTTCAGGCAGAGTGCAGCGGTGGGCTGGGCGTGCTTGGCACGTTATGTATTCGTAGCGCTGGACTGGCTAGGATGTCGCGTAGCGTCTGCTGCGGTCCATTGTAAGGCGAAACTGAGCATTGTCGCTTTTAGATGGCTTTTATCATGCACACTTTTTTCAGCGAGCACCGGTTGGCAGTGCATCTTGTATCGTTTCGCTTGTCTCGTCGCCGTCTTTGTCTTGTTGCTTCCTCTGACCCTCCCCGTTTTCCTCTCTCAGGCAGGAGGGAGCCAGAGCGTGGAGAGAGAGGGCAGAGAGAGCACGGCGGGGGCGGAGGGAGCGAGAGGCGGGCGGCGTAGCATGAGTGCCACCGAGTGCTACAAGTGCCACAAGCCGGGCCACTTTGCCCGAGAATGCTTCCAGGACGGCGGCGGAGTCGGCCGGGGAGGGGGCCTGGGCCCCAGGGGGGGCCGAGGGGGCCCCCGGGGACGCATGGACTACAAGCCTCCCATACGAGGTGGGTGGATCGGCCTCTCTCTCTGCAGGCTTGTAATGGGACCTCGATATAAGGTCGTTGCAGCACCTCCAGACTGCACTGCAAAGCAGTGCGAGTTAGGGAAAGACTGCCGTCTCGAACTGTGGGCATTTCGTTGCCCAATTTTAGCTGCCATTCTAGTTTCAGCTGCATATTTATGGGCACGGGCCGTGCAACGGCATTGGGTTGAGAGGTTCCTCACTTTGCACCAGCTTACTTGCACTAGTGGGACCCAAGTATACCCGCACGCAACACCACAGACTAGAAAGCTCCTTTGTCGCGGTGCAATTTCGGTAAGGAAAGCGGGCTTTTCTTTTTCAGTCACTGTAAATTTTGGTGATGAAGTGATGGTGATAGCTGCGTTCATGCAGACACAGGGATTAGCCTGTAGTGACAATATTCCAATGTTGCTCATAGATGGGACATGAGCACTGCATGAGCACTTGATTTTGGCTCGTGGCACTCAATCCCTCCACGATCATTTGCAGTGATGGAAGTGCTGCGCCAATTGCGCCAAATTGCGCCAAGGACGCAATCCTGCTACATGTAGCGGCAAATTGTCATTTTACAGAAGAATTGCGCCATGCCTGCGCCGAGATGAGATGTAGCAATAAAAAATAAAAATTGAAGTCTTATCAGAGCGCGTGGCGGTACCGCGGTATTTTCTGCGCTGCAATTGTTACGCAAACCGAAACTGCGAGGGCGCATTTTCATAATCATCATCATCATTGAAAGGAACAACATTAGCAACATTTGAGACCAAAGTCGCAGAGGCTAAGCGAAGAACCATCCCACTGAGCAGCCTATTAAAAAAAAAAAAGAGGCCAAGCATCTGGATGTTTTCAATGTTGGCCCTGTTCCCATGTGCTAGCTACCAGCGAAGTCAAAGGTAGCGCGAGCCCAATGCACTGTGCATTCCTGACTCGAGCGTGGGCTCGTGCGGTGTGGGTACCGTTACGGGCTCCATGCGCGCGCGTGTAGCTTCGGCTGCGCTTGCACCGAAACTGAAACAAAGTATAGTTTAGTTGCACCAAACTCTGGATGTAGTGCTGGTAAAGCCTCATTATCCTTTTCGGAGCACAAAGCACTGCGCGACTCGCGCGACGGCGGTGTCTGCTCCGCGGGTGTCACTTCTCCGCAGTGCGTCGGTGCATGCCAAGGAGCGCACTCAACGGGTTAACTCGCCGTGATCTGATTGTGACTTCTCCAGCACATCGAAAATGAATCGGAATTTTTGAAGCGAATATCAGATACCGCAATAATTGAAGCTGCTGCCCGAAAGACAACTCTAATCTGAACTAAAACATTCCACAACAGTGAAGGTCGTTAGATGCTGCTGCAGATACCTTAAAAGAAGTGCAGGCTGATAAAATTAAATATTCTGTACCATCAGAACTCAGTGGGACATATTTAATTGCATTTTTCTGTCTGACGAGCAGATAAACTTTATTTAAAAAATGGTTTTTTTTTTCGTGTTTACTTTGTTGAATTTTATATATCCTGTCTTAAAAAGGCGACAGGCGCTGTGTTCCAATAGAGATGGGCTTTTTATAGCAACGCAGCATTATTTCATTTTCAAGTATTAAGCTAACATATGCCGGACCCTGCTCCAAAAGGGCCACTACCTGCTCCAAAACAACATTTTGCCTGCTACAAGGCCTGCTCCAAAGGTCAAATGGTACTTCCATCACTGCATTTGGGTAGTGGCTTATTTCCAATCACTAGAATTACGGAAATGGCCAAACCTTAACAACGCCTGGAACTCAAGTCATGTCTTGCACTTCATCAAGCACAGCGTGTGGCTATGTTGAACATTGGTGGCGTATTATAGGAACTGAACCGTCAGAGAGGCCACTTCTCTTTCCGAGAACTCAACTTTTGATCTCGTTTACTTCTGTAGGTACTGGGAAGTTTTTCACTTATTCATGTTATGTATGTGTTCCCTCGATGTTTGGCAATTCCACGCACCATGATGTTTTCTTCAATGTAAGTGCAGTTAAACTCTGAAGTTTTTCTGACAGTTAAAGTCAAATAAAAAAAAAAAACATTAAAATAAAAAAAGAACTTCCTTGATGAAACGAAAAAACAGATTTTGAAGGATTCCCCAGAGCATGGAACCTCAGTCTTATTTCACTGACTGGTTAGAGCTCCTGGGCAAATTTATTTCATCATTTTTTTTTCTCCTGGTGTCGGCGTAGGTAGTGGAGGGATGCATTTGCTTGGGGTCGTTCAGTGGCTCTAGGTGGGGCCGACCATGGGCACGAATGGCAGTGATTTAGCGGTAGTTAAGGCTGAATAATCTCTGTCCTTCAAGGGTTTCGTCTCATAGGACTGCACAAAATTGCTTGCTTTGTTTAGCACCTTGAGTAGGAATGCAAATTGCATGAGACATACTCAGTGATGTGATTGCTGCACCAAACTGTGCCAAGGGGCTAACCCTGCTACATTCGCTAGATTTTGCCAAAATATGGGTAATCTGTGCCAAACCTGTGCCAAAACATAAATTTTGGTCGCCTTTCAAAACCGAAACTAAACTGAGTACCGTAATTGAGCATGCGTGGGTTATGTGGCGCAAGCGGCCGCCTGACACCAAGTACCCTGCATCAATTGTCCATCCGGTCTTGCATGGTTTTCCCGCTGTCTCGCGTTCTCGACGTGTCGAGGGTCTCGTCTCGCATCTTTTTTTAAAACATTTTCAACGATAGACGTGGATGTGTACGGACGCTCTGACACTAGCATGCCGGGTACCAGCCTTGCCGTCATGCTGTGAAACGAAACTGAGTTTTTGCGCTGGGGGAGTTACTTTGTGAGCTGAAGCACTCGCTCCTGAAAGCAGCGGCCGTGGGAAAACTATATTTGGTCCCTGCCTTTCAATCAATGTGGTCGCGCGACGTCGGGCCTTGCCGTCCCCGCATGGCTACAGCTATGGCGCATTCTAAAATGAAACTAAGTACCGCCACATGTTCATCAACATTCCTTTTCTTGTTTTAATCATACATTACTAAAAAAATCTATCTTTATCTCAAGGACTGTTGTGTCGAAGTATTCATTACCTAGGTTTCTCTCGGTGGGCTTCCTTTCGAGAGGTACCCCCTGTACATGAAAAATCTGCCACGAAAAAATTTGGTGCAGAGAAGTGAGCTAAAGCAAGGAAGGCAATGCCTGCACGCTGAACCCGCACAGCGCGCTTGCTTATCTTGAGTTCAGTTGTTCCAAGAATTTTTTGACTCTGGCTCGCAGTGTCTTGCATCGATGCGCTCAAGTTCTTTTTTTTGTGTGTTTAGCTTGTACCTTGTTTAGCGGCCTGGCAAGTATGCGCCACTGGACTGTTTTTTCTCGTATAATCGACAGCTACATTTTGCATACAATTTTGGAAATCAGTTGGCGACGGAGCGGAGTGGCGTGGTTTCGGTTGAGATCGAGCAGCCGTTGTCTCCGCTCGCACGACGAAGCACGCGCAACTGCAAGCCTGCCGAAGTTGCCGTCACGTGCATGCGACCATGATTGCACGACAAAGGCACCAGCCGGGACGCTTGCAATCCATGTTTTACGTTTGCTTACTTTTGACGAAAATCTGGCATGTTGGGTACCAGTAAAACGGCGGCAAGCGGTTTTTCGGAATTGCTTGGCAGTGCCTACAGCACTACAATTGTGGGATGTCTCAGCAGTAAAAGCACAAGCAGCGAGTTCCGTTACAGCACGTCACATCAGAACACAACACAAAGTGCCCTTTGTTTGTACAGCACTTAAAACAAATATTTTTATTTTTCTAAGAATATCTGCCACAAAAGCCACTTTTGCTGCTCCAAAACACTGTTTTGGCTGCTCCGAAAGGGGCTCCAAAATGGCTTAGGCCAATCACATTACTGCATACTCTTAAAAAGTGGGGAGGTGGGGGAGGGGGATCAGACGGTGAATGAAAGAATTGTAACAACCTTCAAAAGCCAGCTCAGAACTCTTCGATAAGCGGCTAGTGGTGGCCTGTCGCAGGCCCGGTTTTCCATGCTCATCTATGGAAGACAATCGTTTTTAAAGCCTGTTTCTGGGTGTGCTGTGTCATGTAGAGCTTCGTGCTTCTGCTACACATGTTGCTTTGACACGGCTTTGTCATTGACCCTAGTTTTGTGCCTCGACGGCAGCAAGAACGGTTTTATGAACGCATTGGGGCTGAGACATCTCTGGCTGTTTAGGCTAGAGTCCATCAAGGTCGGAGCAGACGCGCCGAGCGGAAAGTGTGTGTGCCCGGGTGCCATAGCAGCGAGACACTTCTCTGCTTTTGTTTGTTTCTTTTCTTCCTCAGTTGCGCCGTCTGGTCGGCAAAAACATTGTCGCCATAGGCTAATCGGCCGTGCGCCGTTAGGACTTTTATCTGTTCGGTCGCGTCACAGCGTTCGCAGTGCTGTGTGTTCTCATCTAAAGAGTATCTTACCCGACCCTGGTTTGTTTGCACCCATGCAGAAAAGTGCTACAAATGCAACCGGATAGGGCACTTTGCCCGGGACTGCAAAGAGGCGGAGGACCGGTGTTACCGCTGCAACGGCACCGGTCACATTTCCAAGGACTGCCAGCATGGACCAGATGAGAGTGAGTCCGCTGAGTGGCACCAGCAATTTAAGAGCTCTTGGGTGTGCGGTTGCCTGCGGGGAGGACAAACCCATTCTGTAGTCTGACCAAATTCAAGATTGTCCGGTTGATAATTGAGAATCCTCCCAGCATTAATGTAAAACATTTGGTCATTTCTAAGCACCCTTTTTTATTCTTCAATATGGTGGGTATTACGTGCTGGGGCACGCTTGCATAGCGAGATTTTTCGAGATCATATCTTGTAACAGCAGGTGCTTTGAATTGCATAGTTCTAATATAAAGGAATGTGAGCCTCGTAAATGCCCATTCTGCAAGTAACTTGTGCATATAAACGAAAACAGATACTCCCCATTTTGGTCGTTCTGAAAGTGAATTTTTTATTCTGAGCTCAGTCGGCCAACTCGAGAAAACCAGTTCATTGTTCCTTTGACAACCTTCTGGAAAATGCCTGTTTACTAGAATGTGCAAACATAGCAAGTGCATGTTTATAGCTTGCAGTATGTTGCAAAAAAAGAGGTAGACGCCAATTGAAGGAAATAAGAGCGCGACTGACTTGATGACCAATGCATTGCATCAAGCACAATTTAGTACTTGAATGTTAGTATTCAATGTGCAATTGACCCTTGTTATTTCGAGGTTGACGAGGTGCTGCAATTCACTTCAGATTAAAATCGGTGGAGCTCGGGGCAGGGAGCAAATCGATGGTTTCTTATCGTATTCATCACTTTCTTGTGCCACACCAGGCCTATTCACTTGCACGATTTCCTTGTCCGTAGGGGATCGCAGACCACAGAACGTTAGTACGCTCATTGAAAAAAATATTCACTAGGGCTTTTTTTCCGATTCGCAGCCAGTGGGCAATAACCCTTTTGCGAAATCCCCCTAGCGCCCTGGCCCGCACGCGAAGAATTGTGGGAGAGACTGTCCCTCGCCTGGTCGCTCTGCCTTGAGATTGCATTGCCTTGTCGTTTGTCTCCTTTTCTGTTTTTCGATTTCATTACCTATTTTTATCTGTTCAAGTGTATTTTTATTGCTTCTAAGTGTTTCTATTCCCTTCTGCGCGCAATATTTCTTGAATATATATAGTATTTGTGCCTTTATTTTGCTTTTTTCGACGGGAGTGCCGACGGACAACACGCCGCTTCGCGCGTCGTTCCCCGGGTGAGTACTACTGCCGCTACCGATTCCTATCTTGCTGTTAGGTGTTCATTTTGGTTCAATTTGACCTGCATGCAGTCAAGAGGAGCCGTTTATGAACACCCGCACACATGTGATAGGGGTAGGCAGAGCTCTGAATCAACAGTCGCGACGCAAGAGCCGAGTGCGCTGTGATTTGGCCGCCCGCGCTCACTCCGTGGACTTGCACTGCAGGGTATGCCTTCGAGTTCCGCTTGCTTGATTAAGATACAGCACACCGCTTTGTCGCCGTGAACCATTTGTCCGAATGTTTGCGAAGCTGAGGCATATGCAACCCTGCAGCGCCTGACAACTGCGCGCTGCGGCGCAATCCCTTCGCAAACGCCGACGACTCAATGTCGCGGCTTGAATGCGCCTATAGCATGCCTTCATAATCTATCTGCTAAGCTGTTGTCAGTTGCCAACACCCTTTTTTAAGTGCAGAGATGTGTTGCCGCAAATCATTTGCCCGAATGCCTGCGAAGCCGCAACACCGTTCTTCATATCCAACGCTGCGGTGCCTGACAAACTTCGGGCAGAGGGCGCGAGCCCTTCACAAGCGCCGGTGGCCCAACGTCATGGGTTGTATGCGCTTATGGTATTCCTTCTTAATCTATTTGCTAAGCAGTTGCAAACACCCTTTCTGAAGTGCAGAAATGTGCTGTCACCCAGGCAGTTATCTTGAAACTCGTAGTTCCTTCGACAATTTTTTTTTTCTCTAGTCAAGATGTCAGCTCAAGGTATTTTATTTTTTTAGGTCACCTTCAGCAGCAACATGCCCGGTGGTACAGTTTGCTGTGTGCCAGGCTGTGCAAACAATGCTGCCATCGCACAGCATGTTTCCTGGCACCGCTTTCCAAAAGACAGCGTCCTGCGAAGCGTTCGGGTGAAGACAACTGCGTGCAGTTGTTAGGCGCTGCAGCGTTGGATATGCCGAACAATGTTACGGCTTCGCAGGCGTTCGGACAAATGATTCGCGGCGACATATCTTTGCACTTGAAAAAGGGCGTTGGCAACTGACAACAGCTAACAGCTTAGCAGATAGATTACGAAGGCATGCCATAGGCGCATTCAAGCCACAACATTGAGCCGTCGGCATTTGCAAAGGGATTGCGCCGCAGCGCGCAGTTGTCAGGCGCCGCAGCGTTGCATATGCCTCAGCTTCGCAAACATTCGGACAAATGGTTCGCGACGACAAAGCGGCGTGCTGTATCTTGGTCAAGGAAGCGGAACTTGAAGGCATACGCTACAGCGAGAATCCACGGAGCGAGCGCGGGCGGCCAAATCACAGCGCACTCGGCTCTTGCGTCGCGATTGTTGATTCAGAGCTATGCTTACCCCTATGACATGTGCGCGGGTGCTCATAAATGGCTCCTCTCGACTGCACGCAGGTCAAATGAACCAAAATGAACAGCTAACAGCGCGATAAGAATCGGTAACAACAGTAGTACTCACCCGGGGAACGACACGCGAAGCGGCGTGTTATCCGTTCGCACTCTTGTCAAAAAAGGCAAAATAAAAACACAAATACTACAGTCGAACCTGTTTATAACGAACCCGGTTAGAACGAATTATGGTCTATATCGAACACACGAAATTTTAAGATCAATATTCATGAGAAATATACTTTCTATAACGAACCACACATCGGATATATCGAACTGCGAGCGCCCGCTACCGCCCCCGTGGAGACGTGCGGGCTTCCCTGCAATGCACAGAGTGACAGAGGACAAGAGAAAACCAAGAAAAACACGATGGCCCTTGAGAAGATGAGTCACAAAACCGACTGCGAACGCCCGCAACCGACCCCTGCGGAAGCGCGCTGGCTTCCCTGCCATGCACGGAGCGACAGAGGACAAGAGAAAACCAAGAAAAACACAATGACCCTTGAGAAGATGAGTCACAACACCGACTGCGAACGCCCGCAACCGGCCCCCGCGGAAGCGCTGGCCAATGATAGAGCAAGCGTGCAATGACGTTCTGATGACATCATCCTGCAGCCGTACCAGGCCGGACATGGCTCTCTTGTTCCTAGCGTTTTGCCGAGAAGGCTCGTTGTTCTTTGTGTCCTTCCTGTTCCCGCAAGAGATGGCGACCAAGGTGCGTTCATCGTTACCGTTCTCTACCAAGGTGGAAATAGTAGCGACGGAAGTGCTCCGTCGCTACTGTTCCCAGATTCAGGGAAGTGGACTAAGTCTGGTAAACCAGCTATTTCGTGTCGAGGACGAAATTTTGAAGGACGCAGTAAAAGCGAAGACGCAGGCAAAAATTACCAGCTTCTGTCGGTAATATCAAAAGAACAGGTAATAAAGACTTCTCTCTGTCGTAAGTGCCACAACTTTTTTTTCCTTCTCAATTTTACGGAATTGTCGTGTTCATTTATTGTCCGTTACCTAGAAATTTTCGGGCTTTCTTAGATGATATGTTTTAATATTGAAATTTATTGATAGAAATATGAATACTTATGTTCCATCATGAAAGCTGCCTCGCGATAACACGGCTCTGAGCGCCGGCGTGAGGCTCGCTACGCTCGGCAGCCTTCGCCGCTATTCCGCGCGGTTTCCTTTCATCTCTCTCGCTTTTGCTGTCCTCACGAAATAGCGATATTTGCTATAACGAACTACTTGATATATCGAACTAAAATGCGTGTCCGATGGAGTTCGTTATAAACGGGTTCGACTGTACATATATATATACAAGAAATATTCTGTGCAAAAAAGAATAGAAACACTTGGTGGCAACAAAAAATACGCTGGAATAGATAAAAATAGGTAGTAGAATCGAAAAACAGGATTAAGAGGAGACAAGAGACAAGGCAATGCAATCTCAAGGCAGAGCGGCCAGGCGAGAGACAGTCTCTCCCACAATTATTCGCACGCGGGCCGGGGTGCTTGGGAAAATTGCAAATCGTCTATTCGTCGGGTCAGCATGGTTGGCCATGCCGCAAGGCCTTGCTGTTCGCATGTTTCCTAGAAATGACACTGGACGATGATGCATGTGCCAGGCGGTACTTGGACTGGCTGCACTGTTCACTTTCTAGACTAGAGAATGTGCAGTGGATTACTTTTCCCGTACCAGGTCATGCCTTTGCAGCTTGACTGCATTTGTGTGGCCAGCATAATCGTGAAGTCTTCTGTGCTCCTAGAACTCCCGTATTTCTGGAGCGCACAAAAATTCTTTAGAAATAATAGATTGAAAAGTTTAGCCTTATAATTACTGCATGTCATTTTCTATAGTATTCTACATGCACTTGGCATAACTGCACCAGCGGTTCAGACCAGTCAAAATTGAAAGTTGACTATACCACATAAGGGAAATCTTTTGGCAGAGTCAATAAAGGTATTTACTGATGAGACAAGTTGACATTACATCCTGCAGCAGTATAAATTATACTGTTTGTTGTGCTAAAAATTGCGCTATAGTGTAGGTTGGCAATGAACCATGTCCACAAATTCTGAAAGGCCGTGCAGCTTGCAAAGAGACTTTAGTTCTGCTCTGGTAAGGTAAGGTCAGGTCTGTGCACCTCTACCACCTGACACATGAGGAGTGCTGTATGCTTTGTGTGTGGTCTACTAGCAACACTCTGCAAGGTCAAATAATTTTCCAATGGCATTTCTCACCACGACAGTGTCATGCTACAACTGCGGCAAGATGGGCCACATTGCGCGCGAGTGCAAGGAGCAGGAGAAGACCTGCTACATCTGCCACAAGCAGGGCCACATCTCCAGGGACTGCGAGCAGGATGAGCGAAGGGTGAGGCTTCAGGTTCTTGCTTGCTCTTTTTGCGTGGCAGTTTCTTTTCTGTGCTGTGCGCTGCATTGAGAGAGCAAATTCTCGTGGCTGCTTCGACTTGTTGATTTCAGTGTCTGCCGCATGCGTGCCCGTTGGCCTGGAACGGCACGAAGGTCACTGTGATTGAGGGTACCATGACACTTATGGGAATGTGCCGACTTTTTTGTCGAGATTGAGAACCTAGGTCTCAGGCACATTGCTTTCTTGCGTTAGTTTCGCTCGTTAGTGCGGTGCCAGCTAACGGGCTTGCAGATCTGGTAGCTCAGTGAGGCATTAGTGTGAAGTTTGCTCGCCGTCTGCATGTTGCATTTGTAATAGCGGTTCGACGTGTACCCCCGTAGGTAGCGGCAATCTGTAGTTGTGCTTCAACATTCATTATTGTAGACTTGGCTGCTTTGGACTTAAATGAACCCCAGTGTTTTGTCACCACTACCTCGATATGCCAGTTTCTCCAACGCGTGCGTGTGGGGTGCCCCAACTTTTTGTTTATTCTCGCTTTCTTTTGTCCCACCATTTCCTTCTTTTATTCTTTATGCTTTTTTTCCCCCTCCCCTCTTCCTGCATTTGCCCCCCCTTTTCAGCCTCCCGAATGAATCTGAAGGCTTTTGGAAGGGGGATGTCTCAAAGCAAGGACCGTCGTGCCGTTGTTTGCTTTTCGTTTCCCCGTGCCGCCCCCTCGTTGGCAGACCCCTAGAATGTGTGGGATGACCCTATTGTCTCGGTGCAATGGTTGTGGGATGGAGCACATGTGTGGGAAACTTAATGTAATGGTGGAAGCAAGGTCGGTGTTTGCAACTGGCGACGAGAAAGAGGGGCACACATTATCATCGGGCTCTTTTGTTGTACATAAGATATTCTCCCAGAAAGGTTGGAATAAATGGGAAAACACAAACGTGGTCATTATTTGTTCATTTTTTTCTGCATGCTGCATTTTTCCAAGACTCCACTTAGCGAGCTTGTCATTGTCTGAAGTGCGAGTAGACGAGCGGGTGGCTGGGAGAAGATAGTGCTTGTGTACACAAACACAATTTTGTTTATTTCCTTCCTGTTCACAAGGTTCTCTTGGAATGACGAGCACTAATGGTTTGGACGTTGCTTTCCTGGTTTCCTTGAATTGATCGATGCTAGTTTGGATGAGCATGCTGCATTGACGGCACCTATCTGTGTTGCAATGTTGCCTCACTATGTGGTATGCTGCAACTCGTGATCTTTTATATCTACCATGAAGGTTTGTATAGAAAAGATTTTATCACTATAATATTTCCGGTTGGTCCTAGAATCCGTCAAGCTGGAGCGGAACCTCATTATGATTTCACTGCCCTCTGTTCTGCTTCATGTTAAAAATGGCCTAGTACCGTATTTATTTGCATAATGAACACACCTTTGTCCCCACAAATTGACATATTTGGGAGGGTGTTCATTATGCGGAGTAAAAGTTTTGCATTTGCACACTTCGTGCAAATGTCATATATTAGGTGCCATTATGAAACGGCAAGGTACTGGGCACGTCTCCACTGATGGAGGCGCACACACGGCTGGTCGGGGTTGCGCCACGGTAACCATGCTTTATGAATTGTAAACCTTTTTAGGGAGCTTTCGGCGTGCCATTTGCCGAAGAGAAAGCACCGTACGAAGCTCATTCAGCACGGAGAGCAACGTGACCGTTCTTAGGCCTAACCACTTTCACGACTTAACTGTCTCAAAGCAGACCACAGACAACGACGTGTTTGTTGACATCAATGCGTCCGATAGGCGAAGAATGTCCGGGGCTAGGCAGTTCCTCAACGCAAGCTTTGTCAAGTGTGTACGCGGCTCGGTTTCATGGTTGATCACTTCCGCAACTACTCGCTTGCAGCCATTACGAGAGTGGCTTGGCTTGGCTTGACTTGGCCCGGCAAATAAAAATTGGCTTGTTGCGTTGGTTGCAATTCGAGACTCGCGGAGACGAAAATTAGAGGTGCGTTTATTACGGGGGGAGGGAAGAAACGGGTTTAAATATTGGTACCCGTCGTAGGGGGTGTGTTCATTATGCAAGTAAATACGGTAAATTGAGGAGGACATGGGGTATTGCACACATTTTACGATATGCCCGAGATCAGGTAGATCTCTGCCCGAGATTTACCTGATGCCTGCCCTGATGCCCGAGATCAGGACAGGAAGGCAGGCAGGCAGGCGGGCAGGCACAGAGAACTCGGCTATCGCATTTATTTAGTTATCCTCCTTATATATTGTCTTTCTCAAGTTTATACTTTCTTTACCCTAGTTACCAAGAATATGAAGGATAAACACAAAGGAGGTACAAGGACTGACTTATACCATTGTGGCCAATACGAGCTGCAATGAATGCCACGACATGTGGCGCATGATACTGTCGGAGCTGCCTGCCGCATCTTCAAAGTGATGCATGTCGAGGTCGAGACAATTCCACCGTTGTGCTCGTTGTGCCACTTTGCGCTTCCTTGTCGTCTGCTTTTGAGACGGCAGTTCTCAACTGTAGCAGAACTGTCTGGTTAGACGCCTGGATTGCCAGGTTGAAGCTCCTGCTCCAATTGGAAAGGGTTTACTGACACAGCTGCAAGGAGCTGGCTGTTCTCTTCTTCCCTCTTAGCTCGAGAGTGCCTTCTGTGGGGTGCATCCCCAGGTCGATCTTCATCCTTGTAGGCACGAGTTATGCAATTCAGCCTTTAACAACTTCCCCTATACTATTGCCCTTTGCCAATACACTTTCAATACACAGTGTGGGGCAGAAGTGCCCCACACTCAGATGTGTGGGGCACTTCTGTCTGCACTCTCGGCAGTTTTAAATCTGCCTTGCAAAAACTAAGACATAAAAGTTTTGTGCCACTCCAGTCTGGACCGGTTTATTGCGTGATAAGACGGGGGGGGGGGGGGGGGGGGGGGGGGGGGTTATATCAGAACAGAACCTTGAAAAGTGCATATTCACCCGGAGCATGCGTCCCGCTACACTATAGTGTAAAATGGAATTTGGTGGGTACTCTGGAACTGAACAAGAAAATGTTTAAGAACACAGATGTGTGCCTACATATATAAGTGGGAAATTCCATATGGTAATCCTGCTTTCATGTAGCCACGGTCTAGTGAAGAGCAAGCCAAGTTTGCTATAAACAAAGCTATAACAACTTTAAAAAAAAATGTTTGTAGACAAAAATAAATAGGCATGACTGGCATTATAGAGGTCAACCAAGTCACTTCACCTTCCAATACGGGAAAACGTGTGAACTGAGGAATAATGCTTGACTAGAAGCATGCTTAAGGTGGGACACTATTTAGAAAGAAACAATTTCTACGAAAAAAGTTGAGTTAGGAAAATGTCATATTTACATCTACCAACATCTTGAGAGTATTCCCAGAAAGTTTTATTAGTTTACACAGCATAATTAATTTCCTATAAATTATTTTCGGTCCACCGATGCTAAACAAAAGTTGGAGGTTGGAGCACTTGGAACGCATTTTTCTCTATTCTTGTTTTACAGCGGATCTGTTAAGGGCTAGTTTCTCCAGGATCGTGTCCGTACGATAGCTGTCCAGAGTTGCGTTTGCCGATTGGTTGTCTGCTTGCCTCCGTCACTCATAGATCGCGGCAACCTTTCCAGCCTTTTTATTCTGACTTGCCGACTTGTGTACAGTTATTGCTGGTCTTCCTTCACCAAAATGGAAAGGCTGAAAGTCTTTGGCATAAATTTCACTTCAGGAAAACCATTGTTTTGTTATGACTTAGCTTGGATTCATTTTTATGAGTTTCTGGGGTGAAATTTTAAGGGGAAGGTGGCTATGAGCTTGTATTTTTTTTATTTTTGTAGTTTCTCATGCTCAAGAACTAAAATTTTGGACAAAGAATGGAAATAAAAAAAAAAACAGTATGTTTATGTGGCTTTTTTTGTTATGAAAGAAATAGAAATATAGAAATATAGCTCCATAGCTATCTGCTCTGAACTGTCCTAAAGCAATATAACATGAAAACAACAAATTTATAAGTAATTTCAAAACGATAGTTCTCCTACACAGACACACCCGCTTTCATCTGTGAACATATGCAATTTGTTTTGTACTTCGCCCAGGCTGACAAAATCTGACAGTAATGTTCTCAACATCAATGGAAACAAGCTCTGTAAATGTCATTGGAATCGGACAAGTGGTTCAGTCATTCACTTTTTGGGATAGTGTCCCCCCTTACAGGGGCCCTGCAACAACAACTTGACTGGTTATTAATTTGCACCGAACCTGAGCGCACTGAACGTAGTAACTTAAAGAAGCTTTTCTTTTCTCCAATTTCGTTTTATTTTAAATGTTATAGGCAAATTAGAATTACAAAAACAAGCAAAAACTAACCTCCTTCATGACGTCGTAGGTCCTGGTTTGAGTGACCGTGAACTAGAGGAGTAGTGAGCTCATCAAGCGCTCACGGCTGCCGCACTCCCTGTCGACGGCTCGAGAAGGCGCCACTAAAGCATGTGTTGGACAGGCTGTATGAAGCAGGCGGCCAGAGCGGCTCGCATTGCATTTGCTGCGCGATTAAAGACTAATTTGGCATAACACTTCATTGACCACAAACGACAGCAAACACGGGGTAAAGATCAGTTCAGAACGGGAGCCACTTCGCGCTGCCACACCGCTGAATGGCCAAATCGCCAGCCAAGCCCGCGCCGAAAGCCTTTGGAACGCTCGGAACCGGTCGGATCCTCGAGCCGGTATACGACCGCAGCGCCGCCGCGCACATCCGAGACCTTTCTTTGCTCGCCGTTCGTCGGAGCTTCATCCCCCTAGCCCTTTCTAGTATGCGCCGTTTTTTCCGCCGCTTGGTGGCGGGTTTGTCGACGGGTCTTTTCTTGTTTCCGTACTTTATAAACTGCATTTGTTTCTTTTCTGATCTAAAATACTAAACAAAAACTACTTTCATACATAATTGAAACGTTTCGCAACACTTATATTTTGTATCTTGA